GGAGGCCAACGTGGGTCTCGATCCCAGGACCCTGGGATCATGACCTGAGCTGAAGGCAGACGCTTAACGACTGAGCCACCCAGGCGCCTCGCTCACTCACTTATCTTGATATCTGTGCTGAGAAGAGTCAGTATCTTCCAGTATAGCTGCTTAATGGTGTCCAAGATTTTTTACTTAGTGGTTCAGGTCTCCTGAGGAATGTATACTGAGAGAAAGAGAAGGGGAAAAAAAAAAAAGGGAGAGAGGACACACAGGAATGTGAGAGGCAGGCTGAAGCAATATAAATAATGCCTTTAATGATTTAGCCTTGGAAGTCACAGTCCTGCGCAGATTCAAGGGGAAGGCATGTAGAGTGCACCTGGTGTTGGAGGACTGTCAGTGTCACATCGTAAGAAGAGCATGTGGGATGTGGAATATTGTGGCCATTTTTGGGAAATATAGTATACTGCAAAATCCAGTGTAGGCTAAATAACCTGCTCACAGAGGATCCATGGGTGTGAACAGCCTGAAGCCCTTACCTTTACCCTTTGAGGAAGCAATTGTTGTTCCCTAATTAAGAATATAAAGGAAATGATTTATTTTATTATTATTATTTTTAAAGATTTTATTTCTTTATTTGACAGAGAGAGCGCAAGCAAGGGGAACGACAGGCAGAGGGAGAGGGAGAAGCAGGCTCCCTGCTGAGCAGGTAGCCCGATGCAGGGCTCAATCCCAGGACCCTGGGATCATGACCTGAGCTGAAGGCAGACGCTTAACGGACTGAGCCACACCGGCGCCCCCAAAGGAAATGATTTAGAGATAAAATTATCTTTTGCAGATGAAGAATTATGAAGAGATACCTTTTAATACAGATTAGATATAAATAATTAAGAAGTTATTAGTACCTAAGAGGATCAACTCAGAGGTGCTAGTGATATAAGAGTTGAGGTATCCTTTCTTCAAATTTATTCTATCCTCCTGACTTTTGCTCTACTCTCACTGAAATCATTTTATGGGTTGTTGCTAGTTGTAGTTGATATAGTACTTATTGTATGTTATATTTTATAGCCTGAATTTGATGCTTAACTATTGTTTATGACTTTATCTTAATGTGAAATTTAAGGTATTTTAAGTTCCAAACAAGTGATTTCAAACTTGTGGTTACAATCCATACATTCATTTGTTTATTCAGCACATCATGAGCCATATACTTCGGATATATAAAGGCGACTAAGTCAGGGTACTCTCTTTATTTTATTTTTTAATTTTTTAAAAAGATTTTATTTATTTGAGAGAGAGTGAGAGTGAGTGAGAGAGAGAGGATGAGCAGCAGGGGGGTGGGGGGGAAGGGGCGGACAGAGGCAGAGGGAGAAGCAGACTCCCCACTGAGCAGGGAGCCAGATGCTGGACTTGATTCCAGGACTGTGGGATCACAACCCGAGCTGAAGGCAGACACTTAA